GAGGAAGAGAACACCGGAAGGTGCAAGGCTTCTTTTTCTCTAATTTTCAAACTTCGGATATGAGACGAGGACTTTTTCGTCTTTAACCATCGAGCTGCGTGATCTTTTCTTTTTTAATCTCTCAACCAAATTATAATACTTGCCAAATGCATTGAAATAGTTGTTTTGATATTGGTATTATCTAGTATCCCAAACAGATTAAAAGCGTAAATCTATTTTTTATTATTATTATTATTATTATTATTTATTTTGCTAATAAAAAAAGAATCACGCGGAGCATCCCACCTCTCTCTCTCGTCTGTATTAAAAAAATAGATAAATACATCTTAGAGTGTATAAGTATTGAATTTTTACCTTTTATCCTTAATTAATAACCTTTTTAGTCAGTTAAAAGGGTATTAATTAAAAATGTGAGTTAAAAAGCCAGAACTTTGCACTGCTAAGAGTAAATTCAACCATTTACAAAACTGAAGGCTCACTAATGAAACAGAAAGAATCTGATCCAATTCTACACATACACACTAAGGATGGGGTGATTTACACATAGCAAAATTTGAATATCAAAGTTTAAATTTAGTAAAAATTTTGAAATATTACAAAAATAACAAAATTTTATATCATTTTTATATCATTAAAATAACGTTTATATCATTATATATTACAAAATATGGTATCATTATGATTATTATTATGGCATTTTTACTATATTTGTAATTTCAAGGCAAGGTATGAAATTTTGTCAAATAGTGTAATTACCACCAAAGGGGGATGAGTCTAATTTTAGACAAAGCATCTTAGGCCCAATATCGTACAACTTATTAGTCAGGCAAGACCACTTTATATTTAAGAAGTTGAGAAAATTGATAAACTCACTATTTGAATGCATTATTTTAATATTTTTATTTTTAATTAATATCTTTTTAATTAATACAGTTATTTAATTATAGTATATTAATCAAATGTAAAATCTAAAAATCTAAAACTCATATATTTTAAGAGGTATTCATTTCTTTTTTCTTTGAAGTTACAAACATAAACAAAAATGGAACAATAAAAGGAATTCTTATCGTTGTACTAGCCCCATGAGTGGTAATCTAGTATTTTAATTACTTTCCCTCAATTGGACCGTTGACAAGGGAGGAATTTAGAGACACAAGGAATCAATTTTTATATGGAATATAATTATAATTTTCAGAAATAAAAAAATTACTTGTGAAAATCCTTAAAAATAGAGATGGTTTGTGTAATTATATCCTTGTGAAAGAGCTGTAAGTATATAAAGTATGGAAAACCTAAAACAGGACACGAGAAATGGGGGAAGAGGAGTGGGTTTTTCATTTTAAATTATATATCTTTTTCGGAAATGATAGAAAATAGCAAATATTTAAAATAAATTAAATAAGTAATATATTTTAAAATTATTTGAAATAAATAGCATTTTAATGTATAAATATTTTATTTACGATTGATAAAAGATAATTTACGTAGTAAAAAATCTTAATTTACATAAAATATTTTATCAATATAAAAAGAGAATTTATATGAAAAAGAAAATCTTTTTGCAAGTCGTAAATGAACAATTTACAGGGTAAACTGCTATTCACTTCAAATAGTAGTTTAAAATATGTTATTTACTTAATTTAGTTTCATAAATATATTATTTACTACATGTTCTATGGAGAATGAAGTAAATAGTAAATTAATAGTAAATAATTTACTTTAAAAAAATTTCTCACGTAAAAAAATTTTTACGATTGGTAAAAAAAATATCACATAAATAAAAAAATTTTACAACTTAAATTATTTTTTTCAGTCGTAAAAATTTATACGATAAACTATTATTTACTTTTAAATGATTTTAAAATACGCTATTTATTTATTTAGTTTCATAAATTTGTTATTTACTACAATTCTGGCTTTTTTTTTTTTTTTTTATGAAGGTCGTTTGTAATTTTGAAACCCAATATCACATCTTTGGGTGTTTAACCCAAGGTCACCTAGTGGGAAAGTAGATATTTCCCGTGTAAGAGCATTGACCCATTTCCTTGCAAAAACATCCATTATAATTATGGTAACCACAGAACAGGCAACTAACATTTGCACAAAAATTAGTTTCAAAATGAAAATTCACTAGTTAACCTTATCTGGAAATTTTATAACAAACTCAAACACACAAAGGCCGCGCGTATTTTAGATGTGGAAAAAAAAAAACAAAAAAAAGAGGTAAAACTGAGATAGATAATGGGGTTTTATGTAAGGCGCTTAATTTAGTGGTGAATTTACATCTATGCTTCCATTGTTGATTCCCTAGACTTCGGATATCTCTATCCAGTTATTTAAAGAACAAAACAAAACAGAGCAGAAAAACAAAACAAAAAATGTTATACAAGTAGTCAGGAAGTGGGCCTCATGCCATGGGACTCACACCGTAGGCGCATCATGAAACCCACTCCCTTGTCTAATCTCTACAGACAGAGGCCCAAAGCAAACAAGATCCCGTTGCTTCAACACGAACGCTTACAGACTCCTTCCATAGACAGGCCCAAAGCAAACAAGATCCAGTTGCTTTGCTTGACATTACAGCTGAAAGTGAAAATTTAACGGTTAGAGACGTCACACAAATGTTAAACAAATTACGTTCAGGTTAAGGATTTTCAAACTACATCATCCCATTGTCAAATATGTTCATTTCAGGTCAAGGCATTTTCCACCCAAATTAGAAAAAAGCAAATTAATTTAAAGTCCGGATTTTTCATTCGAACTTAACTTGCCTATAAAATTGAAAATTTTAGGTGAAAAAAGCAACTGGAAAAAGTGTTCAAGGAACACCTTCCACATGAAGAGTTCCTTTAGCTGACAATAACAGAGAAGATTACCACCTTAAAAGAGGTAAAATAGAGGTTGCATAATACAATCCCTCTCCATCCAATGAGACGCCTCAAAGAAGTTAAGAACCAGGGGTTAAACTATTATTAATCTAAGAATTTGTTAATAACTTGTAAAGAAATCAAGGACCAAATGGTAAAGCAATTACCCAAAACGGAGCAGTAGTCTTTATACGGATATAATGAAAGCCAAAACACAAACAATGTACTGCCACTATGAGAGGAGACCCAATTCTCCACTTACCAGAAAAAAAAATGTCGACGATAGAAGCATTGTACGATTGAAAACGCAGCAGGAAATGAAAGTTATGGTTGAAAAAGTTACAAATAAACATGTAGTTAGTGGTGAAGTGAAATTTTCTATTACTATTTACTAGTTTTCCCTAAAAATCTAAATAATGAATACAAGAAACAAAAGCGATCATGGGTTTGAATTACAACCAACAAAGTTTTTTTTTTTTTTTTTTTTTTTTTTTAGAAATCCATCTACAAAGTTGATAGAAAGGAGAAAGACCCAAAAATAGTCGTTACTCTTGCAGCTATGAGAGTAGCTTTACTCTTGCGGTTATGAGAGTAGCTTTATTTGCACTCCAAGAAACAGAGCTTATTTAGTACAGAGTCTGTAGAAGAGAGAGAAGCTATGTTGTGCCATAATCAAAGTTCCATTTCCATTTTACACGATAAGTGTGCACTTTGTTATACGAGGCGAAATAGCTTTAAGCTTCCAAAATTGTCAAATGAATAGTTGAAGCTGAGAGTGCCTTTTTTTTTTTTTTTTTAAACTGTGTACTCCCTTAAGATCTAAAGACCATAAACACATAATTCATAAAGTAGAAGATAAGAAAAAGCATTCTCTTCCATAACAATTCTTCTTTCTTTTATACGATTATTCAGAGAATAAGGGAGAAAAATGAATATAATTAATAAAACAAAATTAGGATTTAAAAGCTACTCAACAGACACCACAAGTCAACAAGGGATTCAATACTTTAATCAAATTCCCATGTCACGATGATGGTATAGTTTGCGACTAATTAGCGCCACAAAGTTACCATAGTCAGAGAACTCAGGCCTCGACACTTCGCTCAGAACCACCTTTCACTCGCATTGCTACCTCTGCTACCAAAAAAGAAAAAAAAAAAAGTTCAACAGGATTTAAGCTTAAACAGTTCAGAGAAGGAAAATACAAAATAAGAGAAAGTAAGAAAGACAAAAAAGAAAAATAAACAGGAAGAGATTAAGAGATATATGCGTTTTGGTTGTCGAGAAAATCTGGGAAAATAGTGAAAGACACAGAACTTTAATTCTCATTTTATTTGCCCTTTAGGGAGCTTAGGTGAGTGAACAATGCGATCCCAATACTCATACTCTTTCAATTTCCCAGATTTTCGTACAAAAAACCAAGCAAGAAAAGATTGACAAATAGAACAAAGAAGAATTTACCCTGCCGTTTTCAGGGACCTCTGGAACCTTGTACGTCTCTGCGGTTACCTCCCTCAACAACAGCCCCGGAAACAAAGTCTGCAAACGAAACATCAATTGCGAATTACAAGGAATTAGCGGGACAACAAAGCAGAAAATTTCAACGGAAAAAGGAAAAAAAATCCGAAAATTTCACCGGAAAAGATTTATTTTAAAAAATAATTAAAAAACTCGCCGGAAAACTGCCCGGAAGTCCGAACGTGAAAAACAAGTTCTTGATCGACTTACATCCAATTGCTTCTGAACGATCCTGGGACGCTTCTTGGGCCTGCGAGGCGGCCTGTGGCCCAAAAGCTCCATGAAATCCTCCTCGATCTCCTTCTTCTCGAGCGCCACCGAGAAGTTGACTCTCTCCTTCTCCGGCGGAATCCCTCTGACGAGCCTCGGCGACCTTGCGCCGTTGCCGTTGTTCCCCTCAGTCCTCAACGGTGAGGCAACTGCCTTTCTGTCCTCAATTCTCAACCCCTTCGCCGGAGCCTTACACGCCGCTCTCCTCGTCCTCAGATTCCACGGCCTCGCCTCCTCCACCACAACAGCCACCGACGCCGGAGAGGATTTCTCACCGTTCGCCGACGCCGCCACGTCGTCATCATCGTCTTCGTCATCCTCATCGGCGTCACCTACCCCCTCCTCCGCTGCCGCCTCCTTCCGGAAAATCGCGTACTTCATCTTGTCCGCCGCCTTCTTGAGATCGCACATGAGCTTCTCCCTCACCGCCGCGATCCCTTCTTCGCCAGCGTCATCCTTCTCGTCCTCGATTTTCCCCGGCTTCGAGAAAAACCGCTGCCTCTTCCTCCTCTCCCATTCCAGCTCCCGCCGGCGATCGATCGGCGAGCTATCGAATCTCTGAGCGATGGATCGCCGATCGGTTCGTCCGCCGCCGTCGGAATTCACCTTGACGCACCGGAGGTATCTCTGGCTCCCCCACTTCAGGCACGGCAAATCGAAATTGTGGAGAGGCTTCGCCGCCGTTCGCTCCGGAGCCACCGCCATGGACGACTTCACCACCAATCGCTCTCTCTCACCGAGACACACCATTTACCGTCGAGCGACGACTCAGAGCAAAGAGAAGCCACACGACACCACACAGCACCAGATCAGAGCCTCTGTCTATCTCCAGCACAAGATTTGTGATTCTATCGGGAGAAATCGAAGGGAAATTTGTGGAAAATATTAGGTTTTTAGTTTTAGGTTGCTTACGTTTTCTCTCGGAAAATCGCCGGGAAAACAAACGCGAAGTTTTTATTATGAAATCTCGACGGAGCAAAAGAGAGAGGAAATAAGAGGGAGAGAGAGAGTGAGAGAGAGAAGGCGGTTTTAACGTTCGGCTCGTTTTATAGTCACATTTTGGGTTAGGATTCTAGGAGGGTTGCTAAAATGCGCAGTGGGTAATCAGCGCGCCGCGCTTGGGTTTTCCCGGGTGATGCGTCGTTTTTGAGTGACGGTGGTCGCCTTCACCGTTGAATCGCGCGTGTGCATAGTTTGATCTCTTCTTGGTCGTAGATTTAAACCTTAATGTGAGTTTAGTTGCAATAGAGGAATAGTAATAGTAATAGGAACGAGAATAGTATCAGTAATGGAATGAAAAAAAATTAATTTATTTATTTAGTTGTAATTGTATGAATACTATAAAATATAACATAAATATTAATTATTCTTATATTATATATAACATTAATATTTTATATATCAATATAATTAATATAATATAATATATAAAATATAATA